CTCACTTATTCCTCCAGCCGGACCCTCAGCTGTCCTTCCAAAAACACGGACCAAGCAGCCAAAATGTGCCTTGGGCTCGGCTGTGGCCACTGGACCTCGCTGCCATCAACTCCTCCTCCTCCTCCTCCTCCTCCTCCTCCTCCTCCCCCGGCGGTACCCGCGGAGCAGCAGCGACACAAAGGAGCGGCCGGGTAGCGACAGCTCCCTGCGAGCCCGGAGCAGTGCGGGGAACGAAGGAATCCATCGTTTCCCCGTGGCACGGGAGTTAAAGCCCTCCCAAGAGCCGGTCCCCGCGGTCCGAGAGGGAAGGAGCCTGCCCGGAGCCTCCGGGGATGCTCCGGATGATGCTGATGTCAGTGGGAGCGTCCGAGCCGCTGAGACCCAGCTGAAGCTGCATCGAAAACGACAGCTCCGAGTTCCAAAGACAGCGGTGGATAACCCCCAAGGCTAATGTTTTTCCTTGCCTAACCACAGTCCAGCATTTCGCTGCCGTGCTCGCTTTGTTCCGAGATAAAGGACTATTGCAGGGCTGAGATGGTATTTTGTAAAATTGCCGTGTGCCCTGAATACATCTGCCCATTAAAGCAGCAAGAGGTGATAAAATTTTACTAGAAGGCACATCACAGGGACAGGAAGGAGTTGCCCTTGGTTTGCTCTCCTGCCAGTGAAGCCAAAAAAAAAATTCCCACCTCTGCTTGCACCTGCTGCACTTCCAGGTGGGAGTGGGGACAGCACACAGGTGCTGCCTGTGCATCAGAATAAAAAGGGAGAGCCCGGCATGGGCTGGCCAAGTCACCCAGCAGACCTTAGCAGGAGGCAGGTAAGGTCAATTAAGCAGAAATGCAGGTGCTCGATGCAGCAGGGACATCAGGGAAGTCACTGGGATCTCAGCCTTGCAAACAGATCTGCAGCTTCAGCTCCTGGCACCTTGGGGACCTCGTTGAAATGTCTCACCTCCTGGAGAAGGAGTCTGAATTAGTGCCCAGTGTCGAAATCAAACCTGTGTGTATCAGTGTGGCTTGATTCACCATACCTTTCTCCCTTGGATGGAGAGATTTGTGCCACCCTTCTGGGAGCAGATCTCCAGGGAATGTCATACTAAGGACAAAAGACCCAACCCAAATCAAAGCAAAACCAAACCCAAAAAAACCCCACAAAAACCATCCAAAACGCAACAAAAACCAAACAAATAAAAAATATACCCAAACCAAAACAACAAAAAAAACCCCACAAAAACCTTCAAGGAAAAAAACCCCTCAGCTGTATCACCTTGTTGAACTGGTCCCTAGGTTAAATATTCCTGGGAGGGACTCAGGAAGGGGAGAAAGGAAGGGAAAGGATTGGACTGAACAAGATTACGTGGCCCAAATCTCATTTCTTTAGGTGGCAGGCTGAAACTACCTGGTCTGTGGCAAGACCCTGAATTTTGCCCACCCTGACCTGGTGTCTAGGTACATTGCAGTAATCCACTTTCTTTCTCACTTTTCTCATTTCTCACCATTGCTCTTTTGCCTTCTCCCCAGGAGAAGCAGGTGGATGCACTTGTGCCTCGTTTCAGTGAGATTTGCGTACAACTGGGAGGTATTTAGTTTTAATCCTTCCAATCAACCATATGTGCCCCAGAAGGCAGCACTGAAGGAAAATGAAGGAGGTCTGGAGTGCCCTCAGTCCCTGCAGTCCATCCCATGGACAGGACAGAGAGATGAGAGTATTTGTCTCCTGCAGGAACTCTTTTTGGATGGCCTGGTCATATGTCATCTCCCTCTGGAAGATCCAGACCAAGAACCAGGATTTGACCTGAAGTGCTACAAGAGGTGAGGATAGAGGACAGAGAATGGTTTTGTGGTTCTTACCATGATTTTTTTGCCAAAAGCAGCTCAAGCCTTTATTCAGCTGGAGTTCCCTAACCAGAAACTGTTCATGACTCTCAAAAACTCAGGGTCTACAAGGTAGAGCAGCTTCACAAGAGTGGGATGGAGGCTTCTTGCCAGCAGGGCATGATGGAAAAGGAGAGAGATGTTACTGGTAGATCACAAAGCAAAACTGCCCAGAGAGTGATGCTGACACTGAAATTTAAAAAGTGAAAAAACCAAAAATTATATTAAAAAAAAGAAAAAAGAAAGAGATATGATCTTGTAAACACTTGCACATGGGGCTTTGTTTATTTCCACGTGTGGTTAATCCAGATGGCCATGTGATTACAGCTGAATCTGAGATTATGTATCACAGTTGGACAGGAAGACAGGGAGCCTGGAGTGCTGTGCCTAGAAGAAATGAGACATTTTCTTCCACATCTTGTGTACATTTTAAAGACACAAAGGAAGAGTCAGAGAAGCAGAACATAAAAGAAAGTGAGCCCAGTGGGTATTTATTTTTTTTTATAGTTACTGGAAGAAGATGGGACATTGTCTATGTGCTTTTTAATTGGCCAGAAATGGGAAATAAATCCATCTTGTGTTCAAGCTTCCTTTTACTACAGAGATAGTGCATGACAAGGTTTTGTACTCCTGCCAATACTCACAGTCAAAAGAGTAAATTGCCAGTTTTCACAGAGTTGCATATTGCTCCATAAATATATATTCAGCAGGGGCATATACCTTCTCATTTTAATATCTGTATTATACTTAAACACATTTGATTAGAGAGATGCACGTGCTGGGAGACTGCTGCACTTCCTACATTCAAAAAGAATTTCAAATTTATATATGAGAAATATAAATTTCAAATTTATATATGATGCATCCTTCCTTGCTTTTGGAAAATGAAGGTGAGGCTGTGCCACCAACACTCCCTATTGACACATTCCCACCTCCCTGTCCCTGTGTCCAAACTGATGAAAAGAGGGTTTCCATTCTCTTAAAAGGGTAGAGCAGTAAAACCACTGGAAGGTTTCTGGCAGCACAGCCCTAATGGAAAAGCTCCATCTCACTCATAAGAGCTATGCAATGGACAAAAGCTATTATGGAAATCCTGTTATCATTCACTTTACAAAATAAATGGGGAAAAAGTATCTGGCACTGGCTACAGAAGAAAATCTCCAGTCTGACAGAAAAAGGAGCAAGGGATTCCTCAACTCTAAAATGATTAAGTTTGGTTTTAATTTTTTTTTTTCTTTTATTTTTTTCCCCCCAAAACAGACCTTACTAAAATAAAACAAAGGCAAAATTCTCTCTGAGAGCTCTGCCAGTCTGTTATATATTTTGGGAAATGGGGTGAATCCACATGACCTCTGTTGTCCCTATCTTTGAGATAATGCTGTTATATTTTAGAAGAGCACTTGAGCTATGGTTGACAAGTGCTCTATGCAGCTCTCTTATCACAAAACTTCAGTAAGGGAAAAACCTGGGCCCTCTGAAACCATAGAAATCATAGAAGAAAAGCAAGTGGAACTTGCTGATACAGAGGTAATTCAGATCTTTTATTTTAAAGTAACCCTGTGGAACAGTTAGAAGTTTGACTGTAGCATTATGAACTGCAGAAAGTATGGAAGTTTTTGTCTCTAGAGCCCTGTTCTTCTGCTAATGGTGATGAAAAATACTGTGGATCCATGATCTGGCTGAACTTACCTCAAGTTCTCTGCTATAAAAATGGCACAAGTCTCCCTCCTGGGAAATCTTGGACAGTTTCAGACCCCAACCTGAGTGGACTGAAGCTGCCAAGCTGGAAGAAAGTTTTAATTTCTTACTCCCCAGTCCCCACAACTTTCTCATCTTGGGGAATACACCAAATTGCAAATTATCTGTCAAATGCTAAAGACACTGAAGGGTGAGGCTATGAAGGAACATCCCATTTTCCCCACAGCAGATCAGCTGACTTCTTATTAAACCAAATAAGAAAGTCTCCAAAACTTCAGAGTCTGCCATGAATCCTGCTGTATTTCAGTCTGCTGTTCCAGCCAGGCACTGCATCTGGATTCTTCCCTCAGTGAAGACACATCTGTCAAGTGAACCTGCTTAAATTCCTAGTGAGAAGAAAAGACTGAATATCATCACAATAAGAACAGAAATGCAGCAGGTAGGGATTAGCTTCTTCTATTAAGTACATGAAAAATACCAGCAACTTTCTCCAGACTATTTAACCTAAAATGGTTGACTTTTCCTGAATATGGCATTCCTTTCTTCCTGCAAATATGTTTAACTTGGGCTTTCTGTCTCCTTCCCAGACCTGCATTGCCTATGGGGCTCTGAAGTAACTGCAGCAATCCTTGATAAAATGGCATTCTTGCCACATGAAAAATGGATTTGCAGCTGTGCAGCAGACAGAAATGTGACAAATAAACTATTCAGTGTGAGGTTTTAGCAGTTGTAGTATCCACTTGTGATGATCATTCTGTAGATACAATTCCAGTGAGAGTGTGTGGTCTTTAATCAAGTGTCCTTTTAACTTTACAGCAAATTCCCCCTTTTGCATTTCAAATTATCATTTAGGATAGGCTCACAGACTTCTTTAAAAAAGTCTCCTACACATCTACAGTCTACACCTGCTAATCATCTTTTAAACACTGATCCTGGCAGGGTGCCACACACCCACAAAAGTCACCCTACCAGTCCCTTCACCAGCTGGGCAGGGGAGAGAAAATACAATAAAAGGCTAGTGGGTTGAGAGGAGAACACAGAGAGAGATCAGTCACTGATCACTGTCACAGGCAAAACAGACCTGACTTAGGGAAATTAGTTTATTACCAATCAAATCACAGTAGGATAAAGACAAGGAAAAACAAAATCTTAAAAACTCCTTTGTCCCACCCTTCCCTTCTTCCCAGGCTCATCTTTACTCAATCTTCTCCTCCCGTTTGGAGATGGAGAATGAGATTTGTGATCATTTTATTAAAGATTGTCTCTTTCTCCCTGATCAGGGGGTCCACCCTGGAGCTGGCTAGTGTTGGCTCAGCTGGACACAGGGGAAGCTTCCAGCAGCTTCTGGGAGAAACCACCCCTCTACCACCCCCCACTACCCAAAGGTGGCCATGCCAGCCCCAAACAAACAGAGTTTACTTCATCTGCTGTTACAGAGCAGCTTTTATTCTGTCAGTGAAAAAACAGCCCAAAACAGAGCAGCAAATGAAATGGCACAGAAGAGGTGGTGCAGCTGGGCTGGGTGATTGATACAAAATAGAACACAAGTCACTCAAGTCTTTCCTGCTCATATGTCCTAAGACATTTAAGGCCAGGTAATGAAGATGTTTTTTGGTTTTTTTTCTCACAGATCTTTTCACCTTTGAGATCTGCATCAGAGCAGCAGCATTTTCTTCACTGGCTTCCCTCACTTTGCAACTCCAGCTTCCTCAGTCGGTCCTCAAACTTCTGGATGTCGACCCGATGCTTCATTAGGAACTTCCCATTGAAGTGAAAAACGGGTATGTCATATTTGTATTTATCATACCACCCTGAGTTCTCTGGAAGGGTAATATCCACCTCCTGCAGAATAAACTGTGGCAGAAAAGAAGTATGTCAGTTCCTCCTGGACACTGAAAAACAATATCTGCTTGTCTTCTGATCAGTGTTTTCCCCAGAAATGCAAGGCTGTTTTCTTGAAGACTGTGAATTTATTCTTTGTGTTGTAGAGAAGGGCCTGGTTTTTGGAGTACAAAATATATGTAGCCACAACCCTTGGCTGCCTCACTATTATTCCCTACCCCAGAATATTCTTGTTCCACTTGTTCTACTGCAGAATGGCAGAATGCTGCTCCTGTGGGCAGCAACCTCAACAAACACACAGCTGGGAACAAAACAGGCAGCAGAGTGCAACAGCTCTTAATGCTTCCATTAAAGGTTTCATCCTTCAACACAGAGATCAAAACCTGGCTGAAGAGCAGCAAAAACTGCAGTCACACATAGTTCAAATGTTCGAAGCCCCACTTAGTCACATCCTTCCTAAATTATAGCATTACCTGCCTCGTAAAAGTTGCAAACTCCTCCTTCAGAAAAGGCAACAGTATTTACAAAAGGGGTGTTTTCAGGAACTACTGCAGCACGGTGTATATTGGTTTAGTTTGCCAATAGTTGTAGCATTGTCACAAAATGCTTTTGGATAATGAGTTTTATGTAAATCAGTGCTGAAATAGCCTTGAAGAGGTCATCCATGAAAGAGTAACAGATGCAAATAAACCCCAGCAATTTTCTTTTTACAAAGAAAGAATCCTGATTAACTGTTCTTTCCATATAGAAAACATACACAATATTTCCATACATTACCCTTTTCTTGTATGGCTCAAGAACTTCTTTTGCTTCATCACACAGAGGGCATGGTTTCTAAATGAAAACATTCAGAGTAGCTTAAAGCATGCAGTAAAACACAAAAGTTGTTTGTGCTGTAAAATAACACACCCAGACAGGAGCATTCATTACTGTGAATGCACATTCCCTTCCCTGCACTCTGCCCCTGTCATAGGGCTTTCTAAAACTTTATTTATCAGTGCAGTATGGATGAAAAAAAGCCCAACAAACTATCCAGACACTGAATTTAATTATTTTACATTTGCTATTCCATTTCTCATGGAGGAAATTAACAGCCTTCTAAAAGCTGATCCAAGGGAATGGTCTGAAAGGTCCTGCAGAGACCCCTCATTTTGGTCAGCAATGAATACTCAAAGCACTGTCACCACCAAATGAAGACAGCTGCATGTCCCATTCCTGCTAAAAGAGGAATGGGGAGGCCACATAAGTAACTTCCAGCCTGTCTCAGATCGAGACACATGGCTCAGCTCAAATGGGAAAAGAAGGCAATTTAAGATAACTGTTGGAGTGTGAGATACAGAGTGTGTGCCCTTAGTTAGTTATAGGATTCAAAAAAAACCACTGAATTTCATATAATGTGAAATTCATGAGCATGTTTTCATGGTGATACATTAAAACAAATGTTAAAGTTAGATAGAAAAAGTGTAAGTGTGTAAATTAGAAAGTTTTTTAAATCACTGGGTGAAAAAGTAGTTTAGAGAGCAAAAGACAAGATAGAAGATTTAGGGTGTTGTCTCTTGTCCTTCTTCTTTCTTCTTCATGTTCTTCTCCTAGGGGTTTTTGGGTGGTAGTAAGTGATTGGATAAGGAATGCCACAGTGCAGCACACAGGTGATGGGTCATGGGGTCACTAAGAAAAATAATTTAATTGGCATCTGTTAATTGGGTAAATGGACATATAAAAGACCTTGAAGAAGATCTTTGTTAGCCATTTTACCCTTTTCTATCATAGTGCACACAGCTCCTTGTACCTTGTAATGCTGATAAGAAAAGAATAAACTACCGAGACTGAGCAAGAGAAAACTGCCTCCCTCTCGTCAGTCTTCAGTTCAAAGGGAAAAAGAACCCAATCCAAAAGTCCTTTAATGAGACAGATAACCCATTTGGCCTGCCTGGAAGAAATTGAGCAGAGCTGGAGGGACAGCACCTCCAGCAGGGAGAACTGGCAAACAACTGCAGTGTTTTGACCTGTGGTGGGGTCAGAAGAATCCTCCCATTTTTGAAAACTCCCTCATCTTCCACTAGGGTTGAGTATCTGAAGAAGTAACTCAAATCAAGGCATGCTGCTCCAATGTTTGCAACAGCAGGATTTGGCCTGTAATTCACATGATAAAGTATTTGGAGGTGAACGTGATCACTCTGTCCTTCTGCCCCAAAACAACTTCCACAGCTGGAAAAGACCTTCTTCTCCTTCTTCCACTGAAAAGTCTTCCTAGGGTTTGTTCAAATATGAAGTTAATCTGAAACAGCTACTTTTTATTTCCTGAATGTGAATTACTTCGGATTAAACACTCTATTTTTATTTAGATCTCATTTGAATTGCCTTTCCCACATGGATGAGCCCAGGACACTAAAGTGCTGTGTTCTTCATAGTCCTGAAAAGTTACTTTTGGAGGGCCTGGTTTAGCAGATACTGGTGACTGAAAGGAATGACCCTGGATCCTGCACATCAGTTTTGTGATACACCAGGCTCCTTCCAGTTAAAACAGGACACACCTGGCTCCTCTGGGCCTGTGGAGAGCTTCCTGAAGTACCAGGTACATCAATGAATTTGGCAAAGGAAGCTAACTTTTAGGAAAAAAATATGGTGTCACCCACATGGCAAGCTTAGGCAGTGGGTGGTACTGGTTTAAAATAAAAATGGAATTATTCTCCCTTCTGCTTTCTTCTCCTCTTTTCTCCTCAGTAAAAATAAGGAGGAGGCAAACAAGGGGTCAACCAGCATAAGCTAACAGCATAGATTAATTTTGTTTATAGTCTGCAGTTTTCTTTGTGGCTGCCAGTGAACATTCAAAGTTAACAGTCAACGTTTAGAGTTAAAAACACCTTCTACAAAAGGCCATTTCAGAGAACTGCTGGAAATCTGCTACTAGAAAATATAATTTCACACAGTGCCTTAGTAGTTAGGAATTTTGAGACACAAAGAGCTTTTTTTCCCAATTATTAACCCAAAGGTAAGAGCATTATTCCCTACCTTACTCCATTTGAATGATGAAAGAGTTCTGAATTGGGCAGGGGGAGAGAAAGCTGCGAGTTTATAGTTCTTATTATTAAATGGATGCTGACCTATTATTTTTAACCTATTCATTTGTCACACAGTTTAAACACTTCTGTGTAGTTACTGATGGAATGAACAAACACTGAGCAGGAGGAGGAAATTATTTTAATCGTATTTAAAACCACCACACTGATATCAGCACTCTCAGTGCTTTGCATTTGTAGTTATTCTCCTCTTGAAAGCTGCAACAACCACATAAATCCAGCATAACTCACCCTGTGCCATCCTTTATTAAAGCTCCAGAACTATGCAGGTAATAAAAACAATTCATGGAATGTGACAGTCCACAAATGACCCTTCCTTCTGATCTCATCTGTTTTCTAAATATGCTTAGGAACCCTACACGCCTTTTATTTGTTGCCAATAAAGCAAAAAGAGGCCAAAACCAAATCTACTTTTCCCTCACGTGCTCCCAGCACTATTTGGATACATTCTACAGTCTCACAGGTGGTGCTGAAATTAAACATGAGAACTTTGAAGAGCCTGCTTTGGCTGCCGATGCTAGTGGCTGGCAGATTGTGTGTGTAACAATTCATCTCTGCTCTCCATTTCCAGGGTGAAACACTGGCAGCTGGGCCAAATCTTCAACCAGTAAATGAACCATAGAGTCACTGAGGCAAAACTGGCCTGAAATATTTGTTGATTGCCAATTCTTGCTTGCTACAGTGAGAGCAGGACTGTGCTGCGAAGCCTGGTGTGCAGAAACCCACTAAGTAAATACTGCTTTGAAGGGGGGTAAAAAAAAAAAAGGCAAGCACAAGCCATTTAATCTGTGATTCCTTTGTATCAGAGCTGATAAACACACAGTCTTGCCCAGCTTTATTGTGTAAATAGCTCTTACCTTGGTGAATAAAGTCAACACCGGCTTATTCCTGCTGGCTGAGCAGAGTTGTCTCCCCAGGGGGCTGGGTGATTGCCTCACTCGTGGCAGGGCTCTGCTCAGAAAACAGAGCACCATCATCCTGTTTCAGGCAGAAATAAAACCCTGAGTTGCTGTGTGCCAAGTTATAGCTCATGAAATTTAATGTCAGGATAAACGCGACGCTTCTGTGGCGGCTCTAAATCACACACAATCAAAACATCCATCCCAGGGCTTTTATGCTCACAGTATCAACACCTTCATCAGGGAGGTGGTTTACTACGTGGCAGGCCAGAAACACTGTGCAGCTCAAAAGCAGCAGTTCCATTAAGAAAATAACAACAAAACACCTACGTTTTCCTTGTTGAAATGCCTCTTTAAAGTCCCTAACGCGAATGCTGGCATATAGGCATTACACCGCTCCACCTCCACAGATGCCAGCTGGAATTACACACTTAAAAATGCAAAGTGCTGTGCTTTGAACCTCTGTAATCTTGCTGCAGTGTTTGACATAGTCTACTTACCCGAATTATTCCATCAAAAAAACTAATCTGCGCCTAATCAGAATATTAATATAATGCGTTCCGCAGTGAGCATAAAGCTGCAGCCAGGATGATTTAACTTGCTAATATAAAAAGCATTCACATTGCCCCAAGTCCTTCCTGAAACAGCAAATTGATTGATGGGTTTGTGATTCTTTTGAGTAAGTTAAGTGCTATTGAGGGGTGCCATGCTGGAGTCTTGAGGTCACCTGTTCGTGGTGTCATTAATAACGACACGGCTTCCTCCAAACTTTCGTCGTAATGTGACTTTTAAAAGGCATTTTAGGATCCAGGAGCAAAACAAAACAAAATCTCAGAATCCAAAGGGAGTGTGCATGGTGATTATCAGCAGACATGACACCTGATATCAGAATTTACACTGGGAAAATTTACCCCAAATTTACCCAAAGCCGAACTGTTTCTGCTCAGTTTCAGGCCTGACTTACCTGTAGCTCTATTATCTAAAGCTAAATATCAATAAATTGTCATAAATTGTGTTGTCACAATTTCAAACAGATTAAGAGTGAGCAGGATTTCATTGCAACTGCTAAGCACAGTCTAGGATGGTCAGTAAAAAAGAGCCCAGCACTCTTTTGCTTCACTGGATCTCTCAGCAGCAGTATCATAAAGCTTTTCTTTTTAAAAGGACAGTTTATCCAGAAAAACCACTAAGAAAGAACACTGCAGTGGGCTCTAAAGTTTAATGCTGTATTTATAAGCCACGGTCACAAGAAAAATCAAATGGGTGACAGGGCACTGCTCCACCAATCCTCCTGGCCAGCCAAAGGACAGCAGTTATTAGTAAGAGTCAGCTGCAGGGGCAGAGCAGTGAAATTCCTGTCACTGAGCAGTGACTGGCACAGCTCACACTGCCAAAGGTCACAGTCCTTGGCAGATACTGCACTTGTTTCACTTTGCCAGGTGGAAAGAGAACTGCCTGGGATTTTGCATGTTAAATGTAAGAACCAGCTTGGAACCTTTCGGGGAAAAAAGCAGATCTGGGTGACAGGAAGAGCCTCAGTCAGAGGTGGAAAATTTTTAAACCCACAATAAATAGAGATCCAGAACGGATGCAGTTTTGGCTTGGAGAATTTGCAGCAGGTTGGCCTGTTCATGTGCAAGATAAAAAATGGGGGAAGAAGAAAGGTCTGCTTTCTGACAAGTTTTTTAAGAATGCTTTCGTTGCTAGCTTTTGCAGCAAGCCTTCCAAATGAGGAAGATGCTCTCAAATTGTTTCGTGGCTAGCACAAAGAATGAAGCCCAGATTTCCACAGATCACATTCTTCCTTCCACACACATATGTGCATAAAATAACTCCAGCTCAGTCCTATATAGCCCCTTTTTGATCTCTCCATGCTCTGTTGTCCTGAGGATAACTCCTACCAAAACATCAGCTGAAGGGGAATGAATAAATCAATATCAGTTACCTGAGCTTTGAGACCCCACAAAAGGAAATCAGCCAGCAGTGCCTTAACTTCTTACCAATTTTATGTAATTACAAGCAATTCTACCTGCAGAATCCAGCAGCAAACCTTCACTGACCAGTACTGCTACTGAAGAAAGAATCTGCTTTTTCCAGGGCTAGCATGAGTCTGGCTGGATGTTTTTATAAGAAACCAAAAGAAAACAGAGTCCTGTCTGTCTATTTATTCACTGAAGTAAAATGATACCAAAGTCACTAAAATGCACGAAACTTCCCATATAATTATTCTGGCTCTCTCTCTAGACTACCACCAATTATGAAGATTTGCTTGAGGGAAAAAAATGAATACATAAATGCAAAGAAGGATGATTGCAAACTTGAGAATTTAACTTCCCCTACACCACACAATGCTAAGGATTTAACAAATTACTCTTTTGAGTCTCAACTTGGCCCATGCTCTGTTTTGCAAAGCCAAGTTGGACTCAATTCCTGTTAATAGAATTTCCATCACCCAATAAATCCTCATCTGTAGGAAAAGTAAGTTGTGACACTAAAACCATCCATTATTTAGATAACTATCTGTATAAACCTGGTCTCACCATCAGTCAAGGGTAGACAAGCACAGATGGCTTTTTTCTGGAAGTATTTACCTTTTCAGCAACAGCTGAAAGAGAATGGGGGGAGCAAGTAGGTGCAAATATCAAAATGCATGTTGATGGCATTTAAAACACCTATTTCCTGTTATCCCTCATTCTAAAGGAGCTATGCCAAGGAAACTAAAGTTTCTGGCAGTCTGCATTTGATTACCTACCAAGGAAATGCTGGACAGGAAAACAGGTGCCACAAGCACAGACCAAGGAGCCCACGTGAGTGGGGACAGCAAATCCTGCAGCTGTGGAGATCCCCACGCAGCTTTTACCCCACCAGATGGTCAGAGAAGGCCTGCAAAATACACAAAAATCTGGTGGTTATTTTTTTTGCACATGCACATAACTCTAGAATTCTTTCAGGGAGAATCAGGGTCTTGCAACAACTCAAAATTCAAAGATGTCATCAGCAGTACCAGCTGTATCTGTGGGGTGATGTTCTGCATCAATCAATGCTTCCATGCATTTTCTCCTCCAAAGCAGGGTAACCTGGGGAAAATGCCACTAACACGCTGCATTCCATCTCAGAAAGGAGGGAAATATCCCTTCATCCCAATGGAAAACACATTTTGTTCAGTAATCCCCCCGAGAGTGTGAATCCTAGAACCTGGTCCAGGGCCACACTCCAAATTTCAGGTAATTTAAGTAACATCCAACAGCCTGCTGCAATGGCCTGTTCTGAATACTATACAGAACTTACACAAAACTACAGACTGCTACCATAATGTAAAGTTTGTAATGGAGCTTAAAAGATAATACTAATAGCAGCATAATAGACTACAATATATATATATATATGTCATATATTCTATAGAGCACAGCATAATTTATCTATAACCATGTATCTCATGAAGTTATATTAATATCTTAGATGCTACACATCCTCAATTATCATATTAACATGTTATGTATATAACATATAATATGTATTATGTATATAACATTACATATCCTAAAATTATCATATTAAGAAATGTACCAATAATGTTAAAATACTAAGATATTGCTGACATTAATACATATTAATATTTATATAGACCCCATAGAAGGTGGTATTAATATATCATTAGTATGTAGTATTGCTTTGGTGTGTTGTATTGATAATTATATTAATTACACTGTTTTTGTGTAATATATATATATAATGTATCTAATGATACTGCATATTACTTATGCATATAATGATCTTGCAAATTATGTAATATGTATATATTACATATACATATATGTATATGTACAGCTTGTACCTTTTAAGTGTATACATATATATATTAAACATTATATATACACATATATGCATATACACATACACAAATATGCATGTAAATATATAAAAATAGATAATAATATGGATTACATATATGCATAAATATATTTATTATATATGAGATATATATGATATATATGATACATATTTGTGTATACATACATATAATAATATATGCATAAGATATATATTTGTGTAAAATATATACATATATATGAACATATGTGATAGATATTTATGAAAAGAAAATATTAAAAATATATGTGCATACATAGATACCTACATACATATATACACATATATACATATATGCACATATATGTATATATGTGTGTATACATATATATACATATATATACACACATCTACACACACATATATGTATATACATATATATACACATATATACATATATATAAATATATATACACATATACACATATATACACATAAATACACATATATACACATATACATATATCTACACACTTATACACATATATATACATATATACATATTTACATATATACACATCTATACATCTATACTTACATCTATACATATATACATCTATACATATATATACATCTATACATTTATACACATATATACATACATACATATATATATACACACATATATACATACACACATATACATATACACACACACACACACACACACATATATATATATATATATATACACACACACACATATATATATATATGTACTCACACACATTTATTTATATAAATAACATCAGAAACGTTTTTTAGACACTTCTATCAGGAAACTTTTGAGATAAACCACCCAGGCCCCACCGGCGAGCCCAGCAGGGTACAGTGTATCCCAGGGGCATCCTCATCCTCCCCCGCAAGGAGCCAGCCCGGCTGCTGGTGCCGGTACTCGCAAACCTGTAACCGGACCCTCCGCAGGGACAAAGAGCCGGGACAGCGCATCCCGAGGGAGCCGCATCCCGAGGGAGCCGCATCCCGGGGGGAGCCGCATCCCGAGGAAGCAAAGCCCGAGGAGCGGAAGGGCGAGGAGCCGCAGCCGCCCCGTGTCCGGTCCCGCACGCACCTTGCCCGGCAGCGCCGGCTGTGACGTGAGCCCGGCACGGGAAGGAAGCGACACCGGCCCGGGAAGCGCTCCCGGCAGCCAAGGGGGTGGGCGAGGACCGAAAGGGAAAGTAAAATGGTAATGGTAATAGTAAACATGTAAATAATGGCAATGTAACAGCGATGAGAGCAATAGAAGCGTCACGAAGGTTTGTTAGTGGGAGGGAAGGAGGGAGGGAGGGAGGGAGGGNTGAGATTATGTCGTTGAAGAATAACGGGACAGTGAAATAATGTGGATAATTTTGTGCCATGTAAAGTATCTGAGGGCTGCAGCAGCCACTTTGCCCACCAAAATTTCCCCATCACGTGCCCACTATGCCTTTGACTGCTCATAAGTGACACGTGAACAAACAGCATCTGTTTGGGATTACGAAGGGAACAGCAGAAATTCTGTTTTACTCCTATACCTTCCTATCTTTTTCCTAGAAATATCTCCTCATGCTTTGTCTCTCGAGGCAAAAATAGCCTTTCCTTGTAGCATCCTGCAAGCCTTGTCACTTGAAAAAGCATTTACAGTTTGAAAGAAAAGGAGAGGAAAGACTGAGTGTGAAGTTCTACTATGATCTTCAAATTATTTTTCAGGCTAACAATGTACTTTGCAATGATGTGTTAAGTAATGAAGTACTAATTAATAGAAAATGTGTTTCTTTTATTTTCTCCCACAAACCATACAGGTTTGTAAAGGAAATGGATCTTCTAATACCTCACACTCTCAATACTCCTTTCAATTTAATGCAAAATATAGTTACTATCATGCAAAAGCTGTTAGTCCTAATTTATTACCCCACAGTGAAACACAAGTCATATTCTGGCCCTTTGATACAAAGCTAACAAGAAATGTTAGTGTTAAAACTCTGTATTTTGAAGTCCATCTGAATAAAAAAGCTGTGCCTTTACCTTTGAAATGACAATTGTTTCAAACCTTATTGAAGTCAGCACGTGGCACAAAAAATCTATTCACGTGATTTCTTTCTTTCAGGGATATTTTTTTTTTCTTTCTGCTGCTTCCACATTCACTACCCAGTAAATAATTGACTGACTACCAGCATAATCTATGTTATAACCCATTCCCTTTAATGCCATGGGCGTTTTTAGGTGTTATTTTGCTTTGCTAAGTTTATAACAGCAGCAGTGCTGTGTTTTGTGTTGATTTAAAATCAATTATAAAATTATTTTGAAGTTAAAAAAAGGTGCATTTGACCCTGATGCAGCAAAATGCTCGCAGTGGTTCAGCTGCAGAAGAGTTTCCAGGTCTAGGGACATGATGAGTGATTTTTATGATAAAATTTTTCTTTTATCAGTGGGATGGAAGATGAACAAAGGCAAATGGGTGCAGCTTCAAAATTCACACAGAGCAAGTCTCCTGAAGACAGCTTTTCCAAAGCATGGGAATGATTTCCTTGTGGATTTACTGTTTACCCTAAACAATAACCTAAAGACATGGAAAAATATCTTGATTTGCTGCTGGCCCTTTACCTGGGTTGTTTTTCTGCCCAGAATGTGATCTAGCACAATGTGATGTTACTATAATTTTTTTTTTCCTGCAGATGAGAGCTCTGACTTTCTGTTGTCCTTGCCTAAACATCTCAAGAACTTTGTTTGACAGCAGCAAGAATCAATTGTGGTGTGTTGCGTGGATCTCAGAGTGGGGCTGATCCCAAACCCTGCTCAGAGCTAAAAATGTGGGTGTTTTTTCTCACCAGTTTTCAAGGCAGTACTGCCCCTGATACTGCAGAGAGTATCATGATACATGATGGGCTAATTCCTGCCTGGGGTGTTGCTGTCACCATGATCCCACAGCAGAAAAGTTGTAAGGGGACAGCAATATAAAGTGTCTCATCACACTTTTATCAACTGCTCTGAGATCTGCATAAAATAAAAGGCCAGAGAGGATGGCAACTTTATTGCAGCAGCATTTCCAATTAAAGCAGTCCTCTGGTAACTCGTGGACAGGTGCTATAAAATAGGAATTCCTAATCAATGCAGCTATGCTACTCACCCCCTCTGTTCTTTCTGTTTGATTTAATTTCAGGGTATTTCATTCAGTACTTCACTGGAGATTCAACACTTCCTTGGAGAGGTTACACTGGAATTCCCACAATTTTTTTAAAAAAAGCATGCAGGCATTTTGTTCTTTCTACCCAAAAGTCAATTTTTAATCCAGAAGTAACATTTAACAAGACTGTATCTTTCAGTAGGCACAAAGGAGAAAGAAGTTATTGTCTTCTAATGACTCCTTTATCTCCTGATCAGCTCTGTGTGCAGGTGTGTGGATTACTGGGTTGAAAATAGCTAAAGGAGGGAGGATTCCACAATATTCACCTCTTTTTTCCTCAGTGCTTTCTCTGTCAGTGAATGAATCCTCACACACAGGTTCAGCTACTGGTGTAAGCTGAAAATTCCTTATTCTGCCCATCCCTACAGTCCAAACGAAAATGTAGCCAGTTAAGTACCCTTTCTTCTTCTTCTTCATTTTTTTTCTTCTTTTCTTCTTCTTCTTCTTCCTCCTGTTTGTTTAGTTTTCAGTTCTTGAGGAGTAAGACATCATTTGCCTCCCTCTGGACTCTCCACTGCAATCCTGTTTTATCCTGTCACCATGGAATATCACCCCAGTGTGTCTTGTCAGGCTGGTAACTGGGCAAACCCTTAAACTCACCCCTCTCCTCCACTGCTTTCTTCTCCAGTCTGCCTAGATCTTGTCATACAACGCCTCTAAACCATTTTTATAACGTTATTTGTTATTTATTTGTTTGTAAATAAATTTGTTTATTGACTATTAAGCATTTAAGATCCTCGTCCACAATGCTTCAGCTCATCAGATTTTCTGCTCCTTTCCACTTGTGCTGGAGACAGCTTTCTTCAGTATTTCAGAAACGAATGGGACACAAAACACACAGTCAGTTGCTGCCTTTATGGTTTACTGTATGTATTGACCTGATTTTCTGTGGTTTCCTTCCACTTCCACTCTTGTTTCATACCCAGGAAAAGAAGGGCCCTGCTGCCAGGCAGCCTGCAGCTCCAAGGAGAGTTCTTGTTCATGAAGCTTATCTGGAATGTGCATGCTGCCCAGGCATCTAAATAACACAGTAGATATTCAACAAAACTGATTTTTGAGAACACCTGCAGAGGTTTTTCTTGCAGTTACATTCCATTCTTACATTACATTTTGTGTCAGTATTGTGTGATGCATGGTTTTTTTTTGTTTTTTTTTTTTTTTTAGAGAGAAAGATATTGAGACAATTGTTCTGAACAAGGTAAAAACCAAGTAGGCAAGAATAATTAGTGAATTCTGGGTTAGCATTGCTGTGCAAAGGATGAGCAGAACTTTTATCTGAGCAGTACAAGCAGAAAGCTTATAAGACAATGCAGAACTCGTATTTTGGCTTCAGTGGGGCTGTGTAGACAGGAATTTGGTGAGTCAGCCTACATGGAAAAGGAACTCCATCACAGCTTCCTTGTAAAAAATTACTTTATTTTCCTGAT